GGTAACTCTCCAAATGACAGTGGAAATTCATCCAATAATGATACTGAAGAATCTACCACAGAGATTAATGAACTTATAGAATCTAATGATGATGAATCATTCAAGTCAACTCCACTGGATGTGGAACCGGCTCTGACAAGTGGACAGGGAAGTGAAGCAGAAGATGCAGAGTCTCAAACAGATCCTGATGGCAGTGACAGTTCTCCAATTAATACAAGTACTACACCTACAGCAAGTAACTCGTCCAACAATGGAGAATCATCTATCGATGAAACTAAACCATCTAAGTCAAACATTAGTCAACCTGCAGAACCTAAAACTAATGGTTCGGTGGTACTTCGTCCAATACTTCAGGAACCTACTCTAACAAATTCAGGCGGAGATGGACAGATTTCAGAGGATACAACAGTATCAACAGAAGTCCCAAACACAGCTACTCCAGACGGAAGTTCTGAGACTAGTTTATTATTCAACACTATTGTCTCGGAGAGCATAGAATCGGTTAAAGCGACTACCGCAGTTCCAGTCAATGTTGTTCCAGAAGAGCCAATTGAAGAGAACCTTGTGTAGGGAACATAATATATGTAAATATAGTATTAATTGTAGTATATTGTACAACCTAAATTAATAAGGATAAAATAAATGCAGCAATTATAAGAATTTCAGAAACATATTTATTAAGTTCGTCAAGTTCTTCGAGATTATTCTATTCCGATCGTCTAAATGACAAAAACCAACTAATGAATAAATATTATTCAATATCGTATGATATTGAAGTGTCATTGTATCATATGAATATTTAAATATAAATTAATACTTTTATATGATAATATTAATGTTGTTACTATGAAGTCATTACTGTTTATAATATGTATCAGTACGTATATGATACGAATTCATTATAAAAGAATGCGAAAAATATCGTTGATTTCTTAGAAAATTTAAATTATTTTTTAACTACTTTTGAAATTAAACCCTTGATCAGCGCCCTCGGCGGGAAAACACCCAAGTTTGTCGTGAAATAGTTCGTATTCTAGATGCTAGATGGAGCCATTGTATACTAGAAAACAGTTTTTTACTTTATCGACTACAGCACAGCATATAAAAACATACATTATCAAAACTTTTTATAATGCGTATTGTTTTCTACTATTTTGTTGTTAAAATCTTTTTAATTAATCAGTCAATCAAATTAAACGGATCTTTATCATCGATTAATTAATGTAGTTCAAAATTTAATTTAATCGATCGTATAAAAACAAAGCTCTCTGATTTTTAATCAGACGAAAGTTACTGTTATCGTTTACATATTCATGCATTAATTCTAGCAAACAAAATATCTCATTCGAATAAATTTCGATAAGGGAAGGTTAGCGATAAGCTATTATTAGTTGACACAACTTCAGCTTGAATTTTCCTTGCGTGAAAAATGACAAAATAATTCTTCAAGTCGCAAACAAACGATCCCATTTGATCGAAGAATTATTTTACTGCTTTATTATTATTAATATAAAATATCATCGTCCATGCACAAAGTACATATTATCTAACGTTAGATCTCCTCTGCCGTGTCTATTGCTCTGACATTGACGTTTATAACATCCATTCGTGCTACAGAATGGAAAGTTTGATCACCAGTGACTGTAATCTGTCGCCAATCACGTACACGAATTGGTGGATAATCCTCTGGAACTTTAAACAATGGAATTCGTACCCTAAATTGCAAAATAGCACAAGACTTCTCGACTACTCTTAATCATGAGAAACTTTCACGTTTCAGTTTATCGTTCTTTTAATCAAATACAGATGATATAGAATATATCAGATTGACATAACGTCGTTTAAGCGATCTTAGAGCTCCGTTTAAAAAACTCTTTGTAACTGACACACCTCCTCTAACACCATTTATGCTTGCATGTAGGTAATTATGGTTGTTCTTCGTTCAACGAAAGAATCGAGTTGGAAGAACATCCTCCAAGTGTCTTATTAAGAGGAATCCTCCCCACTCGCTGCCTTGGCCGATAGGCTTGTACTTATGCTAAGAGTTCGACAACATTCAATGAAACCAGTGATGGGATCGAACGTGTCTCGCGAAGATTACTACTACTCCTCGCGAGTTACATTAACAAAAAGTCTTCTCACTTATGTAAGTTTGTGAAAGAATCTAATCTATAATCTATAATCTATAATCTAATCTAATCTTTAATCTCAGATATAAGATTCGTAGAGGTTTAGATAAAATAAAAAAAATACTTTTGCAAGTGTATGGTAGGAGTCTAAACGAAAAATGGAGCATGACAATTCGAAATTAGGCAATCGATGCTTTTCTCAACTAGACCATCTCACGCTCTGCCAGTTGTATTCTTATTTGACTTCTTATTGTCGAGTTGAGATTTGCAATACGACTTGTATCCTCGTTCCCATCGCTGGTCACTCTAACCGCGTAACGGAATATGTTCGCGTAACGCTTGGCTGGCTACTACCGGCTCGGTTGCTCGACAGTCATCCAGAAGCCGTGGGTCAGTCAGTATAGTGCCCGTGACACGTTCAGCGACGACCAGCGAGACCTCGACCTGTCCTCGATCGGATCAGAATCGACGAGCAGGCAAAATTACATTCGAATAATGGATGACGAATAAATACGACAATTTATTCGCGATCGAGTCATTCGTTCGAACAGATAAAACTTTCGGGTTGTATATTTGTAAGAGCACAATTCGATTTGATCTGCCAAGCCTTTTTATGCGTTCGCTATTGTCAGCCTAACGTTTTCGACCTCACCGGGGTCATCTTTCGCCAACAATGAAAGTCAAAGGTACACGACATTCTGGTGAAACGAATAACAATAAATCACATGGACACTGTGTAGACAACCGAAGTGATTAAATACACGAAATAAGTGAACTTTAAAAGAGCAATCTATATTGCACGATAATTATTAAAAGGAAAATACGTCCCAAAGAAGAGTAGCTTCTATGTTGAAGATTAGGCCACCGTTATCGCAGCAAACGTTTCGTCATTACACCCAGAATTTTATGCGTTTCTGTACAGTGTAAGATTCTTTCGTATTCAGAAGATGACAGAATTAGGTCAAAAACCTTCGCCTGTGCAACACTCGATGAATAATAAAAGAACGTCTTGACAGATCAACTTCATTGTCATTCGCTCAACCTACATTCGTTTCGTATAAGATACACCATCCAATTAATTCGAGCTGCAATATTCATCAAACGATCGATCAGTACGAAGTTGTCCATTGTTTGGATCTACATAAAAATTAAATTAATCTCTGATTAGACTGCGATGCAATTGACACTTGTGCGATAATCATATCTGGAGCAACGTTTGCAAATCTGTTATCGAATTCGGACGATACTGATTAGTAGATTAATTTTTCCAACGATATGCAGCTATCAGAGTTCTTCGAGCTATAATTGATCTCTCCGCGCGGTATCTTCTCAGTCGGTGAACTTTAACAGACCATCGACAGATCAAATCGAGGAAGGTTGAACAGATTCGTGACACAAGTTGTCCACCAGTGGATAGGTGTTCCACTTTTTCGACAAGGGGACACTGTAGTTTTCAGGACAAGAAGGATGTGGTCGCTTCTGCTGACCTTGGCCGTGACCGGCGCGATGGGAGAGGTAGTGAATGTCCACGTGAACGATGTAAGTACTCGGAAAAATTAGTATGAAAAATCATGTTTGTTCAATTCCTAATTCTTCTAAAGCCCTTCTCAGAAAATCCAAGACCTGCTTCATTCTAATCTTGCGATTTCAGAACGCTCCGAAGAATTTCAGTTTCGGAGTCGATTACGAGAACAATCAATTTTTACTCGATGGGGAACCGTTCCGGTATGTGTCCGGCAGTTTTCACTATTTTCGAGCCCCAAGACGTTACTGGAGGGATCGTTTGAGGAAAATGAGAGCGGCTGGGTTGAACGCCGTTTCCACGTGAGTCGAATTTCAAACTTCAAATTCATCGAAGTATCGCTTCGTTGAAATATTTCACGAAGACATCGAGTACTTTATTTCTTACTTTCATTTTAAACGCAATTTAATTCTATTATCTTCGTAATATATATCTAATTTTGTTTCTATCAGTTACGTGGAATGGAGTTTGCACGAACCAAGACCGGATGTATGGCACTGGTCGGGTGACGCAGACTTAACCGAATTTTTGAGCATCGCTCAAGAAGAAGGTCTGATGGTCCTTTTGAGACCAGGTCCTTACATCTGCGCCGAAAGAGACTTCGTAAGTGCGATAATGTTTATCCAAGTGTCGCATATTGATCTATTAACTATGTTATTAACTCCAAATATTTAGTTAATCGTTAGGTGTCACGACTAACTCCTACATTTACCGTAATTTTATGTGTTCATTTTTCCATTCTACTTTATCTTTAGGGAGGTCTTCCATACTGGTTACTGACAAGCATACCGGATATAAGATTACGTACAAATGACCCACGTAAGAACTTCTAACGACGCTTAACTAGAAATTATTTTTAACTTCTAATCGTTCATTGCAAACGATGGAAAATAATACGAGTTTTATACTTTGTTTATCAAACTTCTCTTTAAATAACTCCAAGTACTTTTACGCAGGTTACATGAGCTTCGTGGAAAGATACTTAACGAAGGTGTTCGAAAAAGTCAATCCTTACCTCAGGGGCAATGGAGGTCCTATAATTATGGTTCAGGTACGAACAAAAATTGCCAGATTCCACGTGAAAAGAACAAGCAGTAAACGGCGATAATTATTGATTCCAAAACGCTGTTTCAGGTGGAAAACGAATACGGAAGCTACGCCTGCGACACTGCGTACATGAACAGACTGCGAGAGTTCATGAACGAGAAGATTGAAGCGAAAGCTCTTTTATACACGACAGATGGAAACAGCGCGAGCATGGTTCGTTGCGGATCCGTGATTGGAGCTTATACTACCGTTGATTTCGGAGCTGGCTCTAACGTAACGAAAAGTTTCGAAACAATGCGCTTGTATCAACCAAAGGTAAATATCATCTTTCAAAATAACACGTTTTATCAGAATGTGCAATTGTTCGAGTGCACGCATTGTCGAAGAAAAGTTATCAACTCGCCTAAATAACATAGCAATCTGAGTAGTACTACTAATGCATTATCACAAATCGTAAACTTTGCTTGGCAAAAACTAAAAAAGTGTCGTGTAATTGTTGTATTATATGCTTTATCGCAAGCAGTAAACCTCAGCTATCTAAAAGTACAAAGTGTCGCTACATCGATGACGTGTTTCCTCCAGGGTCCATTTGTAAATTCTGAGTTTTACCCTGGATGGTTGTCGTCCTGGCAACAACCGTTTCAAAGAGTGCAAGCCAGCGCAGTTACGAAAACCCTGGACGAAATGCTGTCTTTGGGTGCTTCTGTTAATATGTACATGTTTTTCGGTGGCACAAACTTCGGTTATACTTCAGGTTAGTACAAGTTTTTTTTTTTTTTTTTTTTTTTTTTTTTTTCAAAAACTATTACTGCTTCACGAGGACTTCAATATTTGCGATTGCAAGAATAAATTAAATAATTTGATAGGTGCCAATATTGTTGGGAACGTATATCAGCCGCAGTTAACATCCTACGACTATGACGCCCCGTTAACAGAAGCTGGCGATCCAACTCCGAAGTACTTCCTAATCAGAGACGTTATCGCTAAGGTACGATATCGTAACATTTCGTATCTGATTCTAAACGGTTCTTCAGAAGGGACTTAACAACTTTGTTTTTCATTCAAATAGAAATTAGGCACAGAAAAATGCCCCTGATAGTAGGCAACCGAAACTACAGATCGGTAATCGACTCGGTAATAACTCTAATTTATGATTTTATATCACAATAAATGATAGGTCGATGAATTGCTATCTTATTTCGGGTAAAAATACACAAGGTGTTTCGTTTAATATGAAATGGTTAAGTATCTAATTGGAGCACAGGGATATTGCTCCTGATCGATGGCAACCGAAGCTACAGCTCGACTGGCAGGTTGCAAAACTACAGGGGTATTTAAAATATATTGGACCTTTAGACCTTGAGACCTAACAATCTGTCCCTCATGCCTCTTTATCGTCTAACCTTCATGTTTACAGTATCTGCTCATGCCCAACATATCCCTACCGACGGTGTCTCCAAAAGGCAGTTACGGTTCGGTATACTTGTCGCCAGTCTTGAATCTGTTCGACACGAAGGGTCGAGAGAAATTTGCAACGATCGTTACACACGCATCGGATCCCTTGACGTTCGAGGCTCTCGATCTCCCTCGTTGGTTAGCGTTGTACGAGACTAACTTGGTGACCAGTTCTTCGGATCCAGCTACTCTACGTGCGACACCTCGGGACAGAGCGCTGGTCTACGTGGGTGACCACTTAGTTGGAACCTTCAGTCGCACTAACAATATATACGACATAAGCATAGAGGAGCCCTACCAAAAAAATTTAAAGCTACTGGTAGAAAATCAAGGACGAGTGAACTATGGGAGTGGACTTCGCGACTTTAAGGTTGGTTAATCGGTATGGTCCACGCTCTGTCTCATGGTAATTTCTAAATAAACATCTTTTAATAGGGGATCTGGAACGTAACTCTGAACAACACGCCGCTTCGTGGTTGGACAATGACAGGGTTCTCTCTGGATAGCATCACCCTAAATGACAATTACCCGACGATCACGCTGGAGAACGGAACTCTTCGTCGTGGACCAGTGGTATTGCGTGGAAAGTTCACTGTTTCTGGTGAACCGATGGACACGTACTTAAACACTATTGGCTGGGGCAAAGGAGTAGCTTTCGTGAATGGCAGGAATCTCGGTCGATACTGGCCACTAGTCGGACCCCAAGTAACTTTATATGTCCCTGCACCATACTTGCGATCAGGTGAAAATGAGTTGGTGCTGGTAGAGCTGGAGTATGTACCAAGCAGCAGAAAGATGAAATTCCAGGACACACCGATCTTAGATCAAACACCACGATCGTATAAGCTAAATGATTTCAATGGACCATCGTTTTGGTACCATTAGCTTCTGCTTTTATAACTAGAATATGTAGGAAAAGGATATAAAAGGATTTTATATTTTTACATCCGAAAAAAACTACTCACAAGTTACATCGCCTTCGAAATGATTAAGTTTCTTTTTTTATTTATTTAACCCTTGCATTGTATCCTCGCGTTTTCTTAGGGCGAATAAGACCGACTGTTGTTTAATTAAAAAGTTCAATGGAAGGAATAAAGTATATAATTCTGTCTTACGTTATTGATTATTATTCCCTATCAAAGGTAGCCAAGAAGTCCACGAATAGGCTGGAGGTAATTGTAAATAATTTCTGCTTGCATTCTCAAAACCAATTGCGTTCGTAGATGTCCCATTACTTTCCATGTTTGCACGATTGGCGACACTTTGGATCGAGATAGTGTGAGATCGTTCGTGAGATCGTAAGTTGCTAATCATGGAAAACTGCTTTTTGCATATGTCACAGCGATATGGCCGATCTCCTAAAAAGAAGAGAATTCAAGAATTCAATGTTATTCAAAGGATTGCAAAGTATCTAATCAGAGGTACTAATTACCAGTGTGTAATTGCATATGATGATGCAAAGCTGCAGGTTTACAGAATCCACGATTGCAGACCGTGCATCTCATCGGCCAGTTACCAGTGTGGGAATAACCATGAGCCCTCAGATCGCCAGGGGTTGGGAAGGAGCGACCACACACGTTGCATTTATGTGGTTTTTCCTGTATACGTATGTTTTTCGATCAGTATTTCCAGTTAAATTAACATTCAATTAATTGTGCTTTGAATAGTTGCTCCTAGATAACGCAACCCGCCAGTCAGTCTGTAGTACCGGTTGCCATCTAGTAGGCGCGGGAAAGATGCCCCTGGAAATAGGCAACTAAAACTACAGGCTGTCTGGGCGAGGTATAAACTTTAATTTAAAGCTTCAAATTACAATAAATGATCTCACACACGTTAATATTAATCATGTAATAAAAGGACCTTGTAGTGAGTCATTCGATGATAATACAAATTCGAGGAAGCAGTGAACCGTTTCCCACAAATAGGACACTCGTGTGGCCGTTCTCCAGTATGAATCCTGACGTGTGTATTCAGGGAGCTACTCGTACTAAACATTTTACCACACACGACGCAACCATGTGGCTTTTCACCTGTTAATTGCACGTCATAATTATCAATAGACACTTTTTCAATTAACCTTACCGACCTGTGTGTGTTCGCAGGTGCCTCTTGAGCAACGAAGGCCTGTCAAAGTTTTTGCCGCACGTCTGACAAAGCAGACACCTTTGAAACTTCGGGGTGGTCATCAAACTTATTTTTCTTTCAGAGCCACGACAACTTAAATCTAGAGGCACGTCTTGCACGACACTCCATACTGCATATTAAAAGTATAAGCGCATGAAAATTAAATCTTAAAGTCCCTTTTAGAAAACCTTTTACTACAACTCAATAATTAGTCGCTTACCAGACATTACAAATGTTTCCAATGCTTTCAGAGCAAACGATATCACAAAATACACCAACGATCAAATTTCCCGCACTTCGTCCAGATGTGAAGAAGAAGTACGAATCAGATGCTCACTACCCCGAACCGATTATGCGAGGAGATTACAGGTGAGCTTGAAAGTGACGACGAGGACGATAGCGCATGACGGGGGCGGTATTTCTCGCGAAGGGCGGAGTTTCGTATATTCTTTGATAATGCTGATCATCCTGGCGACTGCTGAAGACCTTCCTCGTTTAATGCACATCGAAAAAAAAGATGGCAAGTGCTAAACACGCTTTGCAAAAAATAATCCTGTCAAAAAAGTGTAAGATACAAATTTGTAATGCACGCGAAGGCAATGTGGTTAATAGCATTCCATTACCTTAACAGTGTCAACCGGTACCAAGGATGTAACAATGGTACCGTATTTCCGTATAAAGTAAAAGTCATGCACACGCAAAACCATATTTCCTGTGAATTCGTTTGTTTAACATTCAACACGGTGGCAACTTTAAATAGTTGCTGTGGATATTTATTTACAGTAAAATGCAATCATGATTTTACCGCAGTGTAAATAAGAATGATATTTGTTAACGTTTAATGTCAAAGGATGCTACATCACGGGAGACATCATTTAAAGCAGAGTGACACTTAATTACCCCCCTGGAACGGTACGTTTTCGTCGATCAAGAGTAACGCTTCGTCACGATATTGACAATTTTTCACGGTATTCGACCGGAGGTGAGATAATTTGTCGTATGGCATCGAGACGTCGGACGTCCCGCAGCGTCACTCCCTCGTTTGTCACCTGAGAGGATATTAACGCTATTCAAGTCTCCACGGAATCATTACAAATCGCTCCTTCATCGACCACGCGCGATAATACTCCGAGTTAAGCTGTATGCATTAGTGCATTATCATCGTGGAACGATTCCCAAGTTTTCACGCATTATGCAAACGCGTGAATGATAGAAATATTGTTGCGTTCTTTTAATTAATAAAAGAACAAAGAATCCATTAGACAAACTTTGAATGGTTTGCCGCTGGTTGAAAGATGAGTTTGATGCGTTCACCGCTAGACGGCGATTTCATTTCATCCCCCGTGGAAACGGATAAATTTTTAATAACATTCTTGCAACTACTTATTGCGAATATATTGCATATTAAATGCACTTACTTAATTTGGGGATGATAGGATTTCCATGTAATCTTTATATTTATATTTTTTGTAAACGAATTAGGAATCGGTTGTGAATGCCAAAGGTTAGTTCATCTCATTCTTTACTTAAAACTTTTGGATTACTTATTTTTAGTAAGTATTTAAAGAAACTAAAAGTAATATATTTCTTAAAAAAAAAAATTTTATTTGTATTAAATAATACTTATTTTAATATCAAATAGGACATTTTATTTACTTGAAATGGTAAATAACACCATTTCACATTGCATCGGATACGTCTATTTTGTCGTCTTGTTCGCCAGTTTCAGTTTTATTCGAATCATTTGATTCCATTTCCTGAACTGTTGAACCCCTTTCATCGTCTACGTTTTTGTTATTATTTCGAGAACATGCATTTTCATTTTCTGCAACATTTTTTGAGGTGTCTGACTTCTCAGCCTCTGTAACACATGCGGCAAATTGGGCAGCTTGTACTTCCGGAGAAGTATCAGATTTCAAAATTTCACGCAATGCCATTGTCGCGTATGTAGAAGCTTTCAAGGACATTTCAACAATTAGAGCTTTATATTGTCCCTCTGAAAATTCAAAAATTTCTTATATAAAAATATAAATATATTATGTAAAAAAAATTATACCTGGTTCATCTTTTGGAGGCGTCAACTTCCGCATCTCTCCAATATCGCACATAATAAGATTGCTGTATTTGTCTTTGTAATGCATGATTTTCCAAGATACATCCATAGGTACTTGCAGCATTTTTCTATAAGCACCACCTAAACTATATTTCCTGAAATAAAAGAAACATTATATAGAGTGAAAGCTACGATTATACCAATATAATATACACAACATTCTCTCGAAATCAACTTACTTATTCTTTTGTCTAAGGTCTGTAGTCAAACCATCCTTTGCTAAAAACTCGTCAAACCAGGGTTTCGCATAAGGTGGATATATAACTTTCCAGCCAACTTGAGGCATCAACACATCCGCCAAAGTATAATTTGGCAAGTCTTCTTCTTTAAGAATCTTTACTGTAGGAAGATTTCGTACATCTTCAAATTCATCTTTCTTATTAGTATCATTACTTTGTTCAGTATTGTCATCTATTTTTATACAGCACTCTGTAGCATCTGTTACTTCTTTAATTGCTGTAATTGTTGATTCTGTGTGTTCTGTAGGTTTTTCCTCTACTTTTGGAATATCTGTGCTTACTTCACTTTCGAATTTACTTTTTTTTTCGCTAGGTTCGCTATTGTTTTTTATCGTAACTTCGGTATCATTATCGTAAATAAAATCCTCGGTATCGTTATCATTTTGTTTTATATTGTCTTCATATACTAAGTCTCCTACTATAGGTTTCCTCCCAAATTCTTTTATTCTTTTAGATACCATGTAGTTCCATACGTAACTTTGATACGAGTGAATGTACATTAGCCGAATATTCCTGGGTATCGAATCTAACGCACCCTGAGGATTCGTACTCCCTGCTGAACAAATACCTTTTAAAAGTGAAGCTTCTATTTTGTCAGATCCTTTAATCAGTTTATATGCAGTATGTGCATTTTTAGTTGATTCATATACCTTCCTAGCTTCTGCTAAATCTCTATCTTGTTCTCCATCGCGGGGTTTCAAAATCAATTCAATCGCTTCCGTCCACTTACCTATAATTAATAAATTTGAAATAAATCTTAATGAACCTTATACAAAATAAAATGTGTCTGAAAATTTGAAAAATAATTACCCTGTAGCAAAGCTTTCCCTATTGCATAAGTTGGAATAGCAGCTATGGTACCAAACCTCTGTAGACCATAATAATTTATGAACCCATTGTCTCTCAAAGAAACCATTGTTTCTTCAATCTGATCATCTGTTCCATTTGCATTTCTCAAAGCTATCCTAAAGCGATTGCCATTGAGCATGCCTAGTTTCAAAGGTTCTTTAACAAACTTAAAGTTTCCCACATATGCACCACGTACATTTTTTGCTGCTCTCAATATATCCGATGGTTCCACTTTTTTCACACTAACCCACTGAGTAGTCCAAGCTCTACGATCTTTTGTTCCAGCATAGGTAAAATAATTTGACTTCATACGTGTATGCTTAGCCAATTGATTTAATGCATCCATTGTATCCATATTTACTTTGTGCAATACAAAATAACAGTATTCACCACCAAGCTTCTTCCAATCTACCCGGTTATCTTTCCGGAAAATCTGAGAGAATGGACCTGATAGAAGAAAATGTTATATTAACATAGGTAAGCAAATTTAGTATTTATAATAATTTGTATACATACCGATAGGATTATCCACAGAATTATCTTTTTTATTTCGTATGATCACTATAATTTTCTTCTCTTCTTTAGCTATTGTTTGACTAATAACATTTGTTATTTTGCTAGCAATTACATGAATTGTTCTCCTATCTTCCTTACTTAAAGTGGTTACATCTATTTCTATAGAAGATACTTCTGGATCTTTCAATTTCTGTAACTCATTCCATATTGTATCAGATATTGTGTTCTTCAAGAGTTCCAAACTGTTATTTTCTTCTACCTTAGGTAGGATAACTTGATTTGTCAGCTTTGCAATCTGCCCATCAAGGGCAATTTCATTAACATGGAAATCTGAATACCTTTCTTTAATTATTCCAAAAAATCCTTTCTCTCCTATAAATTCTGTAATTCCAACATCACATTCTTTCAGTCGACTTCCAACTTCCATCTTCGTCCTTTTTTCACCTTTTTGCACGTCTGACCAGGTACGTTTGAAAGGTTTTCTGCCAAAATTATTATTTCGGTATCCTTTAAAATATAATGTTGAAAACCAGTGAATTGGTTATGTTTTTATAAAGTAATTATTCTGAACTATTCCTAAATCTTACCACCATGGTGTGATCCTCGATTTTTTCTAAAATCTTTGTTGAACCGCCTGTCTTTTCTGGAATTTTTTTGATCTTCGTCACGTGCATTTGAGTTTGCAGATTCTTGCTCAGATTTACTGTCTTTGGAATCGACACTTTTACTTTCGGACATTGCTGTATACTTAATTATTTAATAAAAGTGTAACAAAACTATTCTTTCACTTAAACCAGTACAATATTATTTATTTAAAATGATGTAATTTATACATTCAGATTTTCAAAGTAACCGGCGTGATTTTGTAAGGTTAACAGTACACAGTGGGTGCGTTCAGAATTGTCAACGCTTACTAAGCCGCTCAGTGAGCAGCTTTTAAAACTAGTAGCGCCATTGGTGGCAAAACGCCCAAGTTTGTAGTGAAAATAGTGTCCACTGTTGATTCTAGATGGCGCCACTAACTTCAGGGTTGATAATCCCTGCTGTTAAGCTTATTAAACTATTTAAATAATATATTAAAGTAATCAATTGTAATGTTATAAAGCAAAGAATCGTATTAATTATGCATTTATAAGAAAATGAAAAATAATTGATTAAAATATTTTGATGGCGCCATCTTACAGAGAAGATACAAACTATTTTCACTATAAACTTGGGCATTTTGCCACCGATGCCGCTACCAGTCCTAAACCAATGATAGATTCCTATAAAATTTAATATCTCAACTTATTTTTCAATAAATACATGCACACTATTTATATTATTCCTAAAGTTATCAAACAAGTTCGATAGGTCGAAAGTAAAAGTACATATCTAATCTGAAAATATAGAGAACTTCAAAGGTCCCCAACAAAAGTTTCGTCTCTGTAAAACTAGTCCGTGGTTCATCTCAGTCGTATTTTTACCTGTATGTGACTGTTATTCTAAAAATTGATTGTCACGGGATTCAGAAAAATTCTATTCCTCTTTCATAGACTGAGTGCCAATTTTGAGAGATTTTATATTCAATATTTGACAAAATGATTTTTGAAAGAGTGGGTGTCAACATCTTTCGTAATGTTAGACAATTAGGTAAGGTGCAATTAAAACATAGAAAGATGTTTAAATTCTTAGTGTTTACATAATCCTGATCGGCTGTTTAGATAATTGTATCACACCTAAACATTTCCTTTATTTTGTATCATGTGCGTAAAGTGATTAGTAAAAAATTGGTGTTGTATTGTAATTGCTTTCTGTTAATTAAGAATGACATTCTAATAGAAAGTGTACTATATCTGTTTGTAGAATCTCTTTCCAAAACTAACCTTTTTTCAAACTCTTGCAAAGCACCACAATTTAGTAGAACATCAACAAGTTTTGCTGGTATTACTCAATGTTTAAATTCTACTGTAACAAAATGTGGAAGCAATCGTTTTCTGGCAAAGGTAATAATTTTGTAATACTATTTTCTTTTGATCAGTGTTTCTCAAATTTCCCTACATACAGGGAATTATTTGTGCATATTTATTTTTCAGATACCGATAACTACAACTATTGGCATGCAACAAAGTCGCAAAGCAACTACACCGGCAGGTGATCACGTACGTATGTGGGTATTAGAAAGAATTGTAGCAGCAGCACTTCCAATTGTAATTCCTGCTGCTTTATTAACGGAAAGTGCAGTTCTTGATGGCCTAATGTCTGTATTAGTTGTAATGCATACACATTGGTAAGTATTTAGTTTTCATTATTACATTATAGATGGTGGTTCTAACTGTTATCTAATTTATCATAATGTGTCTATTGTCCAATAGGGGTTTGGAGGCTATTATTATAGATTATGCAAGACCCAGTGTTGTTGGACCATTACTACCAAAGATTTTACATGTATCACTGTTATTACTTTCGGCTGCTACACTTGCTGGACTATTTATGCTTATACATAATGGACCTGGAGTTGCAAGGGCTATTAAGGATGCTTGGGCAATTGGCAAGGAACCCCCACCTTCTCAAACCTCTACTGCTCAACCTTCGAAATAATTGGATTAATTTTCAATAGATTATTAATATATTCATTTAGGACTTTGTAATTCATCTTCTTGTAAAGCATTCAAAAATAAATTATTTGCTTTCAAGTATCAGACTGAATTATTGGAATAAGATTTTGAAAAATAAATGTATTTGGTATATTTGAACAAATGGCGTTTATTTATTAAAATTGTAAAACAAAATAAACTTAAGTACAATGTTTTATATTGTCAATGTGGTTTTCATAATAGAACATGAATTCAATCCAAGATTTATAGACATACAATATTGTATAATTCAAGTTTCAATTTGCATCCGTGGTAGTTTTGTCTATAAATGTAGCAAGTTTAATGTCTCTTTTTGATAAACCATTTACATCATGAGAAGAGAGAGTAATGTTTACTTTATTATAAACATTAAACCATTCAGGATGATGGTCCATTTTTTCTGCTTGCAGAGCCACTCTTGTCATAAAACCAAAAGCCTACAAATTCGCATAAACAAGAAAGAAATACATTCTCGATGATATAAAACAAACAGAAGTAATTTAATTAAACTAGAATATACCTGATTAAAGTTTTTAAACAAAAACTCCTTGTAAATGGCATCCCTATTTGACTCAATTGACCAACCATTTGACAATAATGGTTTCAAGTCTTTTTCCCTTTCCTCTTGAGTCAATTTACCCTTGAAAAAATAACATATTGCTATAAAATCTTATACTCGATCGATCCAGTACAAATTTTGTTTTTAATACAAGTGTTTAGTATGAGAAGTTAAGTAATCTATTCTTCATGGAGTGGAAGATATTTTTGGTACATTAATTTTCTAAATTTATTGTAAAAACTTACCATCGTTTTTCCTTTTACAGCAGGAGTAGATATTTGTCTACGGTCGAAAATATGGAATATTTTCTCGCGAAGGATCCCCCCACTATTGATAAATCGCATGCGCGTTAGAGTCGACATGGATTTTGCTTTCTTTTTCCTTGATGCCGTTAAAACAGTTCGCTGTCACGGAATAAATTAATATCTCGTTATTATGTAACTAATTCATTATTAAAATTCATTCTATCATCATATATTTGACAAAAATTCGATGTGTAAATTCATCGTACAATAAATACATTATATGCTCGATTTTCGATTGACCAGATTTAATAAATTTCTATAGAATATTAACTTAACTTTTGAATAATTCACGTAATATTTAACGATATGCTTTCGAACAAAAATTATAAATATTTTCTCTTAAAATTATTGTAAAAGTATATCAACGCAACTCGACCATAACCTTACCGATGAAATTTCATCACCTATTGAACTTTTGTAAAATCACGAACACATTTTCAATCCTAATATTACATATTGTTGATTAATTTATTATCTTTAAGATTAAACAATCTACATTAATATGGTTTCTGTTGTTCTGTACACGTTGGAGAAAAAATTAACCTCTCGTACGCTAAACACAAATGTACAGGATCAGAAACGATGGCGGTTTATTTGAAACCAGTTTACTATCTGCTTCATTATCAGTATTCGTCAAATTTTTACTTTATTAAGCGTCCTTTAGCAAATTAAAAATAAAAAGCATCCGAGGACGATGAAACCTTCCTTCTAAATAAACTGTTTCTATAATACATTGATCAAAGATTGAGGGATCTACGATTGCTGCTTACCAATTAAATATCTATTTGAAGAAAATTACAAATAATACGATACTAATTGGTAAATTGGCTATGATCCTAATTACCTGTTGCGTGATTAAATTACGTATTCCTTTAATTCTAGCGCGTTTATCTTGAGGAATTTAAATTACGAGATACGCGAATCGGCTTTTAATAATACCTCTTCATTGCTCTCTTCACGCATACCGTTTCCCACAAGGACTTTCATTCTCGCACGTGCTTCACTTCTAGGATGACGATTGCGTTTACGAACCTTTTACTCACTCTTACCCGTTGCATTGCCTCACTTTTAGATTTACAATCGTCGAAGAGGGAATGTTTCGTTTAATGCGTTAATCTATTTAAAACCGCATGCAAATTGCCGCACCTGGTGAGGCAAGGCGATATACGTATAAATTAATCGAATGTATTTTGAAAGATGGCTACCACTGTACAATAAATTAAACGCGATTCATTTTGGAGGGAATCAATTACAACTTTAGATCTCGCAAGAGCTGTTACGTGACGTATCGCACCCCCGCAAAGGAAAACAGCGAAAAGCAGACAATTTATAGGAAAATGATGTATTAGAATCTTTCAGCATCTCGATCGAGAGCTGTTTAATTTTATTTCCTTGTACTATTTACTACTTACTGCATTTTCCTATAATCGTACAGGACCAAAATTATACAATTAAATGTTCGAATAATGAGTGGTTTGATTTTAACGATTGGTATACGATTAGTTATTTTAAAAAAACCTTTTATTATAGAAATGTTTTAGGTACATCAGATCGATTGGCAGGAATCGAGCCGGGGTTAAAGTTCCTCATCGGTGGAGACGTCGTTAACCTTTTTCCAAAGGATGGCAAATGTTGCCAATTGGAGTCAGGTGTTCGATTTCTGCATAGTTCTGTTATTACACGCAGCGTCTGGTCTGCCATCGATGAATTTCATTTCACTTATTCGTGTCAGCATCGAAACGATCCACGATCGACTAACTACCAGCTACCGCTTGGATTTACTCTCTCCTGTCACGGATATCCAGTCGCCAACACACACCATCGTTATTTGCGACGGCAACGTTGTTAACATCGTATATTTCTGCAATATATTTTCAGATCGGACTGCATCTTCGCGCCAACTTGCTCGGGTTATTCTGGCCGCGATAAAAAATAAGATTGCGCAGCCCTTTCGCTAAGATGTTGGCGCATCTAACGACGTATTGCTACCGTTTCACTGACCTGCGATACGTGAGGTGCATCCGGATGCTGATACAGCGAAGAAGGAGCGCAATTCTCACCTGGAAACAAAAATTTCGAATGTCGAATGAAAAATGAAAAATAACTAAACATTTCCATGGTTGGAAGGATAGAGAGCTATAGCTTCGTTATCTGTAATAAAAATCTGAACGAATGACTTGAAAGCCTTGATGAGAATTTTTGAACGGTGTAATATTTATATTTTCCATCTCGATAATGTTCTAAATTTGTACAACTTTTCGTATAATTACATTGTTACAATGTATCAATTAACGAAGGACCTAATTAACGATGCTGTAACAAACGATAATGTCATATGTAATAACATTATCTCTCAACGTATTCAGTGGCACGACTACGAAAATTATAAATGTGATAAATGCTTCACTTCCTCTATGGCATAGAGGATATGCTATTAGTCACGTTTCATCCAAGCTTCCTATTTACTTTAGATTCGCAAGTATTTATTTCCATGTCGTTTTCTCGTTATTCTATCAAGTGCTTGCGTTTAAAACAAAATTTTGCTAACGAGCAAACTGCTGTGAAATACCAAAAGCGCGCGATTTTAATATTTGCGGATAGGACGAGAATGCACAGTACTACTACTGTATTGATACAAAAAATATGTATTATCAGCACGTATCTTCAGCAACTTCAGGGTCTTTCCGTCTAATGTACGTATAAAATCATCACCAGCTGTGCCGAGGCGTATACTTTGCAAACAGGAAGGCTGAGTGCTACAGGCGTAGATCTATTTTACCTTTTATACCATTTTATTTATTGTATTACCGAAATGTCTCGAATCGTATGGATAATGTGAGTAAATATGGTGCAACCAGTGAAATAGTTCATCATTCAGTGATTTGTCAACTGAGTCGATTAATAAATTTCATAGAGCTTTCCTCGGTGTTATTACTGGGACTACTTCCACCATTCTCGACAATCCTCGCGATTTAAAATGGTTATCCGGCGTAGATCAAGTACCGGTAATTAAACAAGCTAAAGAAGAACGAACGCTTTGCGACACCAAGGAATGCATACAACTCGGTAAGCGAAATATTCTTGGATTATCAATGCAATTCAGTCATTATAACATTAAAGTAATTATATTATCGATACATTTCTCGACGCAAAAATCGTTACTTTACGTTCAACAGCAAACATGTTATCGGAGGGCATGAACACCTCGTTGGACCCCTGCGATAACTTCTACGAGTACGCTTGCGGAAATTGGAAAGTGCACAATCCTCGTCCTAAAGACGAAACCTCTTGGAATTTATTGAGAATGCTTCAAACGATCGTGGAAAAACGTGTCCTAGGTTATTAACTCTTAGACACAATGTTTATTAAAATGTTTCTATTTTCTATTCAAAAAAATCCTATCTGTTAGTTCTACCGAAAGTTTCATAAAACTTTCTGCTATGATCACAGAAATAATGGAAAAAGATTCAAGCCCTGACGACCTCTTGGGCATGAGACTCTCCAAACGAGCATACAAGGCTTGCTCGAATACAGGTAATACAATTGATCCACAGATTCGAGTAAATCTTCATTGCCGATAACATCGATGAATTTTTCGATTAATCTAGATGAATTGGAAAAGAAGGGACTCCAACCACTTTTGCTTACCTTATGGAGAATAGGTGGCTGGCCGATGATAATGGAAGACGACGAATGGAACGAGGATTTGTATAAATGGCAACTGGTGGACGATTATTACGCTTCTTTAACAGGTTTGAACAGTTTGCACGATCTCAGTACCGACCCAGTTCATTGGTTAAATAGGACAGTGTCCTTTCGTGTAAGTTTCCAAAATAAACATTGGTTTTATTTCATTTATCTTCATTCCTTCGCATTATTTGAAACGACAGCTGAGCAGTCCGCATTTGCTGCCAAAAGTATACAAACTCGTGGGCTACGACGAGATCGAAATGGACAGTAGCGATGAAGACAACGATGAAAAAGACAGTCAAGAACGAGGTAGCAAGGAGAAACGTGACAGCGAAGAGCTCGAAGTCGAAGACGAGGATAATGAATATAAAAAGAAACTGTCGAGAAAACGAGTAGCCAAAAAGATGCTTAAACGAGGTGACGATGAAAAGAAAAGTAGGAGGTCGAAGAGGGCTGCGATAAACGCAAAAGTTCAGAAGCGGTACCGTGTCGTGGAGAAATTCATTGCTCGCAAGGTTATAACATTATCGAAACGAAAACCAACGTCTTCAGTTGACGAATCTATAGGGAAGAGTAATCTGAGAATCGATGAGAAGAAATATGATACAAACGGTGACATGTACTTTGACGATGACGTAGATTATGGCAGTTACATCGACGAAGAAAATGATGACGAAGGCAACGAAGAAACTGTCAACGATAGCGACGATGACGAAAAGAATGACGAAAGTGGTAGTGGTAGCGGTAACGGTGATAAAGGAGACGATGAAGATGGTAGCGGTGACGAAGGAGACGATGAAGATGGTAGCGGTAATGGTGATGAAGGAGACGATGAAGATGGTAGCGGTGATGAAGGAGACGATGAAGATGGTAGCGGTGATGAAGGAGACGATGAAGATGGTAGCGGTAGCGGTGACGATGACGAAGAGTCTCCAGATGACGGAGACAGTTATAGTGAATCAGAGGAAGAAAGGGAACGGGAACAATTCAGGAAGAAATACGCAGGATACATATTAAATGTTGCCAGAGCCCTTACCAAAGCCAGAGGTATCCCGATACCAAAAGAGAGGCTCCAGAAAGACATCGATGACTTGATCAAGTTCCAGATAAGTTTCATAAAGGTATTTGACGTACTTTATTTTAAGAAAAGGAAACATTGAAATTATTTATAAACCGATACGGCACAGCAATGCTTATTCTTATAGATTATATACGCGGAGTACATTGGACGATCCACTCAGCTTCGACTGTTCCAAAAATCCTACGACGATTTGAAATCCAAGACGAGCAACAGCAAAGTAAACTTTCTTCTGTTTATCGATCGTTTAATTCGGAATTATGTCATTCGTAAGCGGCCGTTTTCAGATAAATTGGGTGAAAAAGGTGCAAGATTTGGCCGCTACAGCGGGGATAGAAGTTGATATCAACACAAATATCTCAGTTCCATCAAGCCTTTACATGAAGAGTTTAAAAAAGTTGTTGGATAATACACCCAGCAGGACAATTGGTACGTAAGAAGATGAAGTGTCTACGATGGTAAACGACGAATAAAGAAATGTGTGAATAATTTTATGCAGTGAATTACATTCATTGGAACATCCTTAGTAGAGTAATAAAAGCTACTACGAAGGAAATGGAGGACTTGTACGCATCTTGGGAAGACAGCGAGGATAACACGATTACGAGGTAATATTTTCAAGGTATTCCTGTTTCGAAGCAACAACGAAAATATGCTTTTTCAGATCAGAAGTATGCATCGAAGACTTAAAGCTGAAAAACTATTTGGGTTACGAGTATGTGAAACGCTATTTTCCTGACGAAACTATGAAAGCGGTAAAGACTGTATAATTAATGTAAACATTAACGATTCGATGCTGATATATCCATTGTCGTCCACATATGTTGATCGTGTTATTATTTAAGGCCTTGGACATGATCGACGACATCCAAAAGGAAGTCGAATATCAGATCAAAGGTGCAACTTGGCTCGACGATAGCACCAAGGATTTCGTTTTAGACAAATTGGTGTACATGGTCAAGATGATTGGGTATCCACCTTGGTATCGAAATAGCACCGTCGTAAAAAATTATTTCCGAGGAGTAAGAATTTACTCTTTACTCTTAACTTTATTTTCTAGTTACGTTGAATCTGACAACCTATAATTTCTACATGTTAATTGAAAATTTTAGCTCAGTATTAGTCAATCGCATTTCGAAAACGTTTTGAGTGTCATGAGATACAAAAAACAGCAGAACATAAGAAGCGTGTTCACGGGAGAAGCGGACAAACGGTAAGAGTAAGATGAGTTTGATTTCAATTTCATTATGCATTTTAAGTCACTCAAAAGAGAAATTCGTTTATAGATATGACATAGATCCTTTGCTCGTGAATGCCTTTTTCATGCCCAGTTTAAACGCTATCGGTGAGTTTTGAAGTCTATTATTTCATTAGCATTGTTCAAAACATACTATGATTTACCATTTTAGAGGTAACAGCGGCTGATTTTCAGAGACCTTTCTACGCGCCCAACCATCCATGGTAAATACGAATTAACCATTGAAATTCTGTAATCAATTTTACAAAACGTTAATAATTTTACCATGTATTGTCGTTTCGTAGGTATACAAACTTTGGTCTTATAGGGTACATCATGGGTCACGAAATAAACCATGGATACGACAGCCGTGGTCAGTAACTGTAAAACAGTCCTCAATTTTTCTCTACAGCAACGATACTAACTGCGATATTAATTGATTTTAGGTCATTTGTTCGACAGACGCGGTGCTTACACGGAATGGTTACGCGCGATGGCAGAGGAGTACGATAAAAGGGCGGACTGTTTTATAGATCAATTTAACAGATACAGCGTGGTAGAAAATAGAACAGCCAATGTTCCAATAAAGGTGAAAACTCGTGAAAATTTCTACAAAGTTAATATTTTGTCTCGAAACTATTTATAGTTCCATGATGAAAAGTCCTGTCGTCCATTTCTGGGTTACGGTGGCGACCAACGTGTTATTCCGATCGATAAACGAATAAGTGGACGGCTTGTCTGGCCATGGTCCTCTTATTCCACTAGATATCTGTCTGTTCTCGATTGACATTCACGTGCTGTATGATACAGCCTGTATCGCGGTAATACAATAGCGCGAATCTGCACTCTATATTACAGGATTATGGCAAACAAACTCAGATGGAAAATATCGCGGACACTATGGGTCTGCAGGTGGCCTTCAAAGCTTACCAACGAAGGCAAAGGGAATGCGCGAAACCGGATCCCATGTTACCAGGACTTGAGAACTTCACCAATGACCAACTTTTCTTTTTATCTCTTGCCAATGTAAGTTCATATTTAACGCGTTTAAATATCTATCAACGCGTTTATACATTATTAATGTATTAATGTAATATTTACAGGCGTGGTGCGAATCTACCAGTCCTGAAGCAATCAAGGAAAAAGAGACACGGGATTCGCACAGCTTGGGCCCGTTACGAATAATAGGGTCCGTTTCCAATTCCGAGGACTTCGCCAAGGCTTTCAATTGTCCGGTGGATAGTCCTATGAATCCTAAAAAGAAATGCAATATATGGAAATAAGAATAGTTAATAGTAACATAGTTAAATAATCACTAGCTCTCTTATGTCCCTATATACTTTAGCATTAGCTGTATTTGTAATACAACTTGTACTTATCAAGTGCAATTACTGTATTCTTTTCCTGTAATTAATCCATGTATATGGGTACAGATTAAAATAAATAAAGTACTGTATATTTTCATTTTTAACTGGCTACTGCAAATAATTACCTATGGTTATTTTATATTCGGGTTATTGTATAAAATCATAAGAAACTGTGTGGAGTATTTTCTCGTTGTATGTCGTTCAGTTATATGAATCTCGATCATCGGAAGCATTAAGTTTGTTATTGCTGGTCCCATTATAGGTAATCACTGAATCATTACAGTCTTCGATATCAATTTCAATAAACGATACATAATGGTTTTATTTAGGTCATCTTTATGAGAACGGGCAACGTCGTGGACTGAAAACTAAATGTAGTATCATAATAAAATCAATAAAAAGAAAAATAATGTTGGTACATAAGAAACTACTTAAATTTGATTAATCGCCAGAAATGTCTATTTTTAGTTACTACCTTCTACACGAAAAAAATACATCGATAAGTTTATTCCAATCTCGTGTATCTAAACGATCTAATCGCAGAAGCCTCGTTAATGAGCACAATCGCCTGTAACAAACGGAAACGAGTGTATCTCACAGTAAACAAAGTTCCTGAATGCAACATCGAGATATTGCATCTGTAGAACACCAAGGGTAAAGGATGCACGTTTCTGTGTCTGATTCGAGGCGTGAGCCATCTTATCAGAAAATATCGTTAACAGTATCAAGGTTTTTCCCCTCTTTCTATGCATATAAAATTGTCGCTTGTCGTTTTCTTTGCGCATTCTGGAAAAAGAAAAACGGAGTGTCGCCTCTACACTCCAGCCTAGTCATCAGGTTCTCGCTACGTTATCAAAATGATACGGATCCTGATTCTGTAAGTTGAAATTTTGTTGATTCCAGAAATATCTTTAAAATAGCTATCGTTGTTCGATAGTTTATTGAACAAATTCTGTGAAAATTCTTTTAGAGCGTCTTTAGGGGCCGTTATAAACGCGTCTGTGTTATCGTCCCATGCGTTGGAATACCCTCATGGATTGGACAAACTATTCGGCGAGAAACGAGAAGCTGAGAAAGAAAAAAAGGAACGTTTGGTATGCGAGAACGAAGAATGCAAGAAAATTGGTGAGTAACGTCCATCGCGAAACAAAATTATTTCAGTGGATCTATAAAACATTGTAGTCAAAGTAGAATTAGAGATTTATTAGCTAATGTAACGCTACAAACTAAAAGTATACATTTTATTCTCTTTAAAAAACAGGGAAAATGATTTTGGAGAGTATGGATGAATCTGTAGATCCATGCGATGATTTTTACGAGTACGCATGCGGAAAGTGGGCGGAAAAGAATCCTGCTCCTCCAAAAGAGGACTCGTGGAGTTTATGGCAAATACTGATGAGACGAATTTATAAACAACTTCAAGGTTAGTATCGTTTCTTCAGACAAGATCTCCAATTTAAAGAAAGAATAATCTCCAATTTGAAGAAAAAAACGATTAGTAAAAGCCTAGCTTCACCTTTATTATTTTAATACTTTGTCATTTCCAGAAATCATCGAGACCGAGCAAAAGCCTGACGATCTGTTTGCCGTGAAACTCGCCAAAATGTGGTACAAAAGCTGCATGAACGAAGGTATTTCTCCGAGATTCATTAATTTCACAGTCGTGGTTACTGTATCAAAGAACAACTCCAAATTATATACGCGACATGTAACAATTATTTAACAGAGGCAGAAGAAAGGAGAGGTCTCGAACCGATGCTGTCCACCCTATGGAGACACGGAGGATGGCCATTGATAATGGAAGATGGCGAGTGGGACGATCTCGCGTACACCTGGCAAAAAGTTGACGACTCGTATGCTCGTTTGACGGGAAACAATGCGCTTCACGACTTACTATATAATCAAGTTACGTTCGGAGGAAACGCCACCATAATGGTACGATCGTAATTTCACAAATCGATTAATGTCGTCCATATGTTCGCTGTAATCCGTCCAAATTTTTTAGATAACTGCTCCTCATTTACCACCCAATTTGTACACGATTCTGTCATCTGGTAGCGATTATCCTGTCTCGGACGTCAGCGACGAAAACAACGAAAGCGGAGAAGGCAGTCTGGAACGTGGAAGCAAAGAGAAAGGCTACGAGAAGGATGAAAATAACGAGGACGATGAAGATACAGAAGAGGACGAAGACAAGGAGGAACTGCGTAAGAGAAAAGTGGCTGAAAGGAAGACTCACAAGAGATTAGGTCATGGCAGAAGAAGGAACAAGGGCGAAGATGTTGGTGGCAGACAAACGAGGAGAAGAACGCATAGAAGTATCGCGCAGATTCAAGAACGTCACGATAACCACATGCAGAAGAGACATGCCGAGCATAACGTTCATCACAACGCGAAGAAAACAAAAGGTTCATCGAAGCACGGACACCTGGCTAGACATAACAAGAGAAACAAGCCGATGGAAAAGCATGATCACGAAAGGAAAAATAAATCGAAGACTACCGTAATGAAAACGGAAGTTCATGATAGTAAACATCATGGAGAGAACAGGATTAATAAGCACAGACATCACGTTGCCCAAAGACGTCTAGATAAAGAAGAGAACGATGACAACGAGACTGACAATGAAAATAATGACGAAGACACCGAGGAAGGAGAGAATCCAGGTGAAGATGAGGCCGTTGAAGAAGGTGATGATAACGAAGAAGACGAGAAACAGAAGCTGGAAGAGATGAGAGAGAAATATAGAGATTATATATTTAATGTCTCGTTGTTACTTTCCAAAGCCAGGGGAATAGAGATTCCTCGAGAAAAGTTGATGAAAGGTGTCGCAGACCTGGTCGAGTTCGCAATTAAATTGGGAGAAGTAAGTTAATTGTATTTAATTATTCTCCATTAAATTGTATATTTCGAAAATGTTTTAAAAATATGACTTTATGAAAACCTCGTGAATTTTTCAGATTGTCGTTAGACCCGCCTACAACACAATGACGATGGATGAACTCCAAGAAATTTACGATTCCTTCAAATCCACCACAGATAGCAGCAAGGTAATTTTATTTTGTATCGAGTAGGGAAATTATTAATGTTACCTTCACATTTTACGAAGCGCTCTACGATAATATACATTTAGGTAAACTGGAAAAAGAAGGCGCTGAAATTGTTTACCGAGGCGGGAGCCGAAGTCGATGACATCGCAGAAATTGTAACAACGCCTAAATACTTCAAGAAACTTCCCGCGTTACTCGACGAAACCCCAACCGAAACAATTGGTAAGTCTCGCCATATAAATATATATCATCTGCTTTTAATTTTAGTTATTCGAATGTTCCTAAATAATAACGTCGTGATTTTGTTACAGTTAACTATGTGCATTGGGACTTCATCAGTAAAATGGCAAAATACTCGACGAAAGAAATGAAACAACTGGCTCAAAATTGGAAAGGTGGACCGGAACAGCCCAGGTAACGCAATCAGCGTGTCACGAATTGTTACAAACAAATATCGATCTAATCTATTTTTCATTCGCGTTACCATAGAGAGAAAGTATGCATGGAGCAAGCTGAGCTAGGCGAAATAGTGGGATACGAATACGCTAGATTGCATTTCTCGGAAAAAGTAGCGAAAACGGTACGAATCTTAAATTATGCAATCCTGCAAAAACGGGACTCTAACGACAAATATTACGTTTACGCAGTTAGACGTTCCATAATTGCTGTGTGAAAGTAGTTCATTGTTCTTAAATATGATGTATTGTTGTTAAAGGCTCGAGATATGATCGACGACATACAAAAGGAAGTCGAGTATCAGATCAAGAGTGCTACGTGGATGGACGAGGACACGGAACATTTTATCTTGGATAAATTAGTGAACATGAAAAATCTAATTGGTTATCCTGAGTGGTACAAAAACACAACGCTTGTAAAACGCCGCTTCCAAGGGGTAACTATTCTCTTACTAATAATTTTGTGTAATAAGCATACCTGTTCGCGAGGCTTCTTCGAAACGATTTATTGAATCGTTAATTGATAATTAATGTTAAAGCTCGTGATTGGTTCATCGTACTACGAGAACACATTGAACAACATGCGATTCAAGAAGTGGAAGAGTTTGCGAACTGTACCGGATGAAGACTCCATGTAAGATTGTAAATATTAATATCAGGAACGATATTCTAAATCTGAGTTATGGAAGCACAATGTATTACAGAATGACGTTCGATCCTGCCATGTTGAATGCTTTCTTCGTGCCAGAAAGAAATTTCATAGGTACGTAGTACGTGCATCGAAAGACAAATCCTTGGACTACAGAACAAAATACTTGAATTACACTATTAATATGCTTATATTCTCGAAAACGGCAATTTAATCAGAGCGATTTCATTGAATATAGCGGTCACCGCGGCAGACTTCCAAAGTCCTTTCTTCGCTCTCAACAGGCCATGGTAAATAATTTATACTACATCCTATCGCATACAGAAAGTAACATAATTGTTAATTATAATATTTTATCATCAGGAATGTTAATTACGCTATCATTGGACTTATCATGGCTCACGAAGTAAATCATGGATTCGATAAAGACGGTGAGTTCAAAAATTATAACTTCAACGAGCGATATTCAATAAATTCACGATTGCCAGGTCACCTGTACGACATGAAAGGTTCTCCAATGGAATGGTTATCCGCAATGGCTGAAGCTTACAACAAGAGAGCTTTGTGTTTCATTGATCAATTCAACGGATACAGTCTCGTCCAAGGGGAAAATGTTACTATTGAGGTCGGTATTGCGTTTCCTCTTCGATAAAGGAATGTTCGACTTCACATATTGATATTATAAATTGCAGGGTTACGGTAACCGATCGGCGGGTGAAAACATTGCCGATACAATGGGCTTGCAAACTGTATTTAGGGCTTATCAGCGAAGAGAACGAGAGTGTGACAGACCAGAACCAGCGTTGCCAGGATTAGAGAAATTCAGCAACGAGCAAACTTTCTTCTTGTCGTTTGCCAATGTAGGTCCTTAGCAAACTGGAGTTTTCAATATTCAGAAATCAATCAGTATTAATAACCTCGATATTTTACCAATCGAAATAGCTCCTCGTGTTTTCGATAACTTTGAAACCATGTACGATACGAATTTTATTTGCAGGTATGGTGCGAAAGTATGAATAGAGAATCTGCCGTAATGCAAGCCAAGTATGACGTGCATAGCCCAGGACGGTTGAGAGTGATTGGATCGGTGTCAAATTCGGACGAATTCGCCAAAGCTTTCAATTGTCCAGCGGGTAGTCCGATGAACCCAGAGACGAAATGCAATATATGGATATAATTTAAACATTTCTATACTATCAATATGTATCTTTAAAAAATAAATATACAAAATAAATATACTACAATCGATGAAATGTTTTAAAACTATTTTCGACATCATTCTCTTGAAAAAATAGTGTATGTTCCATTACAAACATAAAAAATCATATAATATTAAAATTAATATTATAAAATATATATATATGTAACATTAGCAGGGTAAATAGAACTCGATAAATTATTTGTATTTATTGTTAGAAAATGTGTGTAGTATTATCAATGTAGAAACATCCACATTCAATTATCATCTTCTATATGAACAAAAATAAATTGCGATATGTATTTTAATCACGTGTATCTAAATTATCGTATCACAGGAGCCACGTTAATGGACACAATCGTCAGTGCCAAACGGAAACGACGGGAATCTCATAATAAATAAAGATTCCCGAGTGTAACATTGAGATATTGCAACTATAAACACACAACGCTCGTGTCTTGACTAATGCTTCGTCGGAGATTATTGATGACACAGACAAAATGCTTTTTTTTTTTTACGAAATTATATTCTCTCTATTGTATTAAATCGTAAAAACTTTGTATCGAGTTCGCTCATTTTATATTGCACGGTTTAAAAGAAATCAATCGTCGTGAGCATTAATATTGCTGAAATCATCATGGGTCCCCGAGTAAAAGGTAAACCCAACCGTGGATCTCCCATCGCAATTTCGATAAATCATACTTAATGGGTTTATTTAGGTCATCTTTATGGGAACGAGTAATGTCGTAAACTAGAAATCCACAATTACCAATTGTATGAAATATTAATATTAATATTATAGAGATGAAACATAAAAAATTTATTGAATTTATTATAGAAATATTTGTCTCTACTGTTTGATAGAAGCATCAATTTTTAATTATCTTATATAAATAAAAATAGACTCTCAAGTGCATTCTAATCACAGGAGGCTCGTTAATGAACACAATCATCAATGCCAAACGGAAACGAACGTAGTTCCTGGGTGTAACATCGAGATACTGCATCTATAAAACTCCAAGGGCAGAGGATGAACGTTTGATTCGAGACAGGGGATGTGTTATGACATCTTATCAGAACGTATCGTTAACAGTATCAGGGCTTCTTCGGATTTCCATGGATATAAAACTGTCAACTATCCTTTCCGTTACGGACTTTGCATAAAGAAAGACTGGGTGTCACTTCGACACTCCAGCCAAATCATCGTGTAGTCTGTTTCCAATTACGTTACCAACATGACGCGGATCCTTATTCTGTATGTTGACATTGCTCATCTACTCAGAAATATCTTTAAAATATCTTAAATCAATAATAATCTATCGAACTAATTCTGTAAAAAATTGTATAGATTGTCTTTAGGCGCTGTTATAAATACAGCTTTCTTACCATCTTACCTGGACTACTCTCGTGGCTTGGAAAGACTGTTCGGTAACAAACGAGAAGCTGCGCAAAAGAAGGAACGCTCGCTATGCGACACCAAGGAGTGCGAATTGATTGGTATGTATTATCCAGTGGGAAACAGAAATTATAAATAATTACTACGAAAAGTTCGTAAATGAAACGTGTATCTCGTTGCTCTTAAAATATAGCGAACGTGATTAAGAATAGCTTGGACGAGTCAGTAGACCCGTGCGATGATTTTTACGAATATGCGTGTGGAAGATGGTCGAATATTAATCCTCGTCCTGAAAACAAGACTACGTGGAGTTTATGGGACATGGTGGAGGAAAAAGTCGAGAACCAGGTTAAAGGTTAGCGATTCCTATTAAACTTATTTTCCATTTCTATTGGAAACATATTCCTAATTAAAGTACTTTCCTATCTCCAGGTATAATCCAGAATGATCCAAAACCCACGGACCTCTTTGCCGTGAAACTTGCCAAACTGTGGTACAAAAGTTGCATGGACGAAGGTATTTATTTAATTTTATATAAATTATAGAAAAAATATCTTTATATAGAGAAAAATTCTCATGAAATGAAACGACTGTTAAACAGAGGCAGCGGAAAGGAGAGGCGTCGAGCCGATTTTGTCCGTAATGTGGAGATTTGGAGGATGGCCACTAATAATGGAGGACGGAGAATGGGACGATAACATATACACTTGGCAATTCGTTGACGACAGCTATGCCCGGGTGGTGTTTACAAATGCATTGCACGACTTGCAGTACGGTAGATTTTACTACGAGGCCAACGATACGATAATAGTACGATCATAATTAATATAATGTCTATACATAAGTAATAACGTCGACTAACTATCAATTACGTTTCTCGACATTTCAGCTGGGTATTCCCCATTTGCTACCCGAAGTATACTCACTTCTGCCAGATGGTAGTCGTTACTCTAGCTCTGATGACAGCGATGAAAACAATGAAAGTGGAGAAGGTAGCCAAGAGAATGGAAGCAAAGAGAAACGTCCAAGGAAGGGTGAAGATGATGAAGGTGACGAGGAGGAGGAAAATAATGAAGATGACAACGAAAATGTCATGGTTAGAAGGAAGGTTCATAGAAAATTAGGTCGCAGCAGAAGCAATGGGAATAGCGAGGGGCTGACGAAAATACGGACGAAGAGGGACATTTTGAAGGATAAAGTTCTTCGTGGTATGCGTAAACAGAGGAAACACGCTACCCATGGAGTTCATCACAGCGGGAAGAAGACGAAGGAAGTATCAGATAAAAAGAAACAGGGCAAAAGGAAGAGTCATAAGCGTCTACATGGCAAAACAAATAATAAGAGAACCAAAATGACCGAAGAAAATGATGTTGACGAAAAAACGAAGAAGTCGAAGAACACACCAACAAAGACAAGAGTTCATAATACCAAGCAACAGAGGGACCATGTCGCCCGGAGGACAAGAGTATCGAAACGTGCAGATGAGGACGAATCTCCAAATACCGATGACGTCGAGAACGAAGATAGTAGCGACAACGAGGTTCCCACGGAAGATAACGATGAAGAACAAGATAATGGCAGTGCAAATGAAGATGATGACGAAGAAAACGATAAAGTAGAGGACAGCGATGCTGAGGACGACGAAGAGGACGAGGATGACGAAGATGACCCTGAAGAAGAAGAAAGAGAGAGGCTGCAACGTATAGAAAAATATAAAGACTATGTATTTAACGTATCGTTACTGCTTTCTAGAGAAAGAGGAGTGGAGGTATCACACGAAAAGATGAAGAAGAGTATCGAAGACATGGTTGACTTCGCAATCAAATTGGGAGAAGTAATAAATTCATTTATTTTACATTACAAGACAGTTGGACGTGATGAAGTACAGGAATGTTTATAGTTTAAAATGCGAACTAATAGGACTTAATTTGTTCAGATCACGTTAATGGACGCAATGGAACCCGACGAGTCGACGATTGATGATTTCCAAGAATTATACGATAACTTACCATCTCGTACAAGCAACAGCAAGGTAACAATTTCCTAAGCTGTATTCACCCTCCTTGTTTCCATATTATACCACTAGAACAACCTCCAGAAAGTCTAAGGTGATAGTGCAGGTACCCCTAACCAAGTAATTTATAAATTTTCAGGTAAACTGGAGAAAAAAGGTAGAAAAACTTCTCGAAGAAGCAGGTATAACGTTGGATGGCGACGTGGAAATGATACTATTTCCTAATTACTTCAAGAGGATTGTTGGGTTATTAGATGAAACCTCAGGCGAAACAATTGGTAAATCTCATGCTTAAACTGACGTTTCATCTACTTTTATTTGAATTTTATCTCGCTATTGGAACTATTATTCTTAAATAACAACCCAGCGAATCTGTTACAGTTAATTATATTCATTGGCATTTCGTTAGTAAAATTGGGCCAATAACTATAAAAGAAATTGAAGAAGTGTATCATAATGGTTACGGAACTGGAGCTTTTAGTTCCAGGTAATGCAAATTTTCTGTTACGAATCTACTCGAGTTTACTTATCTGTGCCTTTTCATAGGGAGGAGTTATGCATACAACAAGTGGAATTAGGCGACATAGTAGGATACCAGTTTGTCGAAGAGCACTTCTCGGAAGAGATAGCACAAACGGTAACGATTCTAAGGATATTGTTGATGATCTTCTGTCGAAGATTCATGTTTATGAATGATTATTTGAAAGTTCTTAATCGGTTCTGAATTTCGTGTGTTGTTACAAAAGGCTAGAGATATGATCGACGATATACAAAAGGAAGTCGAGTATCAGATCAAGGAAGCTACGTGGATGGACGAGGACACGGAACATTTTATCTTGGATAAATTAGTGAACATGAAGAATCTAGTTGGTTATCCAGAGTGGTACAAAAACACAACGCTCGTTAAACGCTACTTTCGAGGGGTAACTTTTCTCTAAAATATTATTAATTAATTAATCGAAAACGTTTCACTAATTAACTGTTGAATTATCGTTAAAGCTCACGGTCGGTCCTTCGCATTTCGAGAATGTATTGAATTACCTTAAATACAGAAAATTGAAGGAGTTACGGCAATCATTGGAAGAAGAAATGAATTTGTAAGAATTTACTAATATTAATAACAATATTCTTGATCGGTATTGTACGACCACGATATTTTACAGAAACGTTAATCCACTCATGCTGAATGCTTTCTTCATGCCGGACGCAAATACCATAGGTACGTACATATGTCATAAAAATTCACTTATTCGATTTACTTAATTGTATTTCTATTTACCACAGCGATCACCGCGGCAGATTTCCAAAGTCCATTCTTTGCTCTGAACAGACCATGGTGAAGAATTTATACATCTACTATACCATGTACTACCGTGTATACTCAATTGGTAATTGTACAATTTTTTCGACAGGAATATTAATTACGGTGTAATTGGAGTTGTCATGGGTCACGAAGTTAATCACGGATTCGATGATTCAGGTGAGTCGTTGTTCGTGAATTGTAATTTGAATAATATTTAACTAATCGATGGTTTGTTAGGTCGCCTCTACGACAGAAAAGGCAAGCCAATGGAGTGGTTATCCGCAATGGCTGCAGCGTACGATAAGAGAGCTATGTGTTTCGTCG